AGCCAACCCAACCCCAAACCCAAACCCAACCCCAACCCCTTACCCAAACCCAAACCCCAAACCCCAACCCCAAACCCAAATCCAAACCCTAATATGGGCTTGTTTTTTTTTCTTAATGAAGCGCATTTTCTTCATCATATTATCAATTTATAAGAATAGAGGATGATAGTCTTTTGAGAGAAATTTGCATAGATAATATTCAGTATATTGATATTATCAAATTTATAGATACTCCAAATAAGCGAAGTTCTAAAGCTTTGTAAACAAAATATATGTGAAACCAAAAATTGGAAAGGTAAGGTAAAGAGCATAATCTGATAATTTCTAATTGAGTGTGAATTATTAATGAAGATTTGCATTCTTCGATCCAATCGTAATAAATGAAATAAACAAATACTAATTTAAATTTCATAAACTAAACTAGCACAAGAAATACCTTTTGATAAGGGAACACAATAATCTCATATCTGTTTAAATAAATTAAAAAGCATATGAAAAAAGGTGTTTAATAATATTATGATTGGGTATTGAGGAAGAGATCTAAAAGGGAGAGGTAAACACAGTGAATCTCATACTCATATATTTACGTATTTTATCATGAGTCTTTTTATCTTTATTCATCCTTTTAGCTAATATTGAATTACTTCAATAACAGGATTAGAATCATTCCTTTTTTATTCTGATTTATTAAAATTTCTTTCTTAAAGTTTTCATCTTTATGGTTTAGGTTGTATGATTTACATTTAAATCTACACATGAATAAAAGAAAACCTTCCATCAATAAGATATATATTTTTTAATTGTAAATTTTCATCAACATTATGAAGTTTCTTTCCCTATATATAACTTTGATTACAAATGGGAGATGATTCCAAAAATAATCGTTAATTATTAAGAAAAGGTGAGTTTGTTAAAATAATTTTATATATCGTTATTACCCCACTTTAATAATTAATTATTACAGAATAAGGATAATCGTTTTTAAAGTAATTTCATAATGTTTTTTATTTTTTATTGAAGAGACAAAAGGTCTTAACAATTATCCATCCAATTTTGCACTGTCGTCCTCTAGATTAAAAAATTAAAATGTTTTAAGATTATTGATGTTGGAAGGTTGAGTATTTATCCTATCAATAAATTAAAAGTCTTTAATAATTATTATGATTAGAAAGGATATTCAGTTTTTATTATTGATAATCCAACTAGTTGATGGATTTAGGAGATTCAGGAGTGATTTTGATACCACTGGCTACGCGGTTGAATGTCGAGGAGCACATGCACATGCACCTGGAATGCATCCTCATCCTTGTGTTTGTAATTTAATAATTTGATTTAGACTATTCTTCTATTTGTAACTCAGTCACCGAGCCTTAAATGATCATATATAATGGAAATGAAAGGCTATGCCATCCAAGACTTCAAGTATATCCTGCAGGGATTGATTCTAATGTTCCTAAAGTAAGAATCTGTTTGGAAAAATCTTTAATTTACAATTTTTCAGAGGATACTGATTTAGAGATTTCATGTGAATTTGTCTCTGACTAATGTTAAATAGCTTAAAGGTCTGGTGACAAACTTAAATGCTAATATTGCTCATAAAATAATTATGGTGAAAATTGTTAGCCAAGCGATAGTATTGTTTTAGGTTGTGGAACTTATTGTGAAAGTTGTGTATCGAACTATTGTGGAACATGTAAGGAAGGGTATTCTCCCGCTAGCAGTACAGATTTAAAATGTCGTTTAAGTAAATATATATTAGATATAAAAGACTGCTAACCAAATCATTCGAGCTGTTCTAATGAAAATGGAGTATACTCATTTTATGGGTGTCGAAAAGGCTACGAGCTGGTTGGTAATTAATGCGTAGGTATAAATAATTTAAAGTATTTAAGCATGCCCGTTAAATTGTACTTAATGCGTTACAGGTGTTTGCACGGCATGTAAATCTCAGTATTCTTTAAAAGACGGTTAATGCTTTGGAGATATAAATTGCATTAGATTTGATTATAATTATGATCCCAATACTGGATTAGCTGTTGGGATAACTTGTTAATAATGCGACTTCAGATATTTTTATAATCCAAATCAGCAAAAATGCACTCGTAATATATTTTAATTATTTTAAGTCTGTAATGAGCAGCCTGATTTGAAAGACTGTTTGATTTGTTTTAATGCGACAGAATGCAAGATTTGCCAGGGAACACACGTAATAACTGCTGATAAGAAATGCACACCATTTTC